CCTCCTCCCCCTCCGCCACCCCCACCGCCCCCTCCTCTTCCCAGTGCAGAAGCTCCATCTGATCACAAACAACCGGCAGTTACCATGGAAACCACTAAAAGACTTAGTTGGCCTCAGCCGGCAAGCATCTGTAGCAATATAAAATCTGAACCCGTTTCTTTTGAGGAAGGTTTAAGCAGCAGCTGTGAGCTGGGCATGAAACAAGCATCTTATGATCAGAGCGAAGTAAAAGAACAGTTGAAAGCCTTTGCATTGAAAAATGCCGACTTCCCTTCCTATTTACTTTCTGAGCCGCAGAAGCCTTTTGCCCAATTAACTGCTCAGAAAATACAGACTCAGCAGCAGCAGCAGCAGCTCTGCGGAAATTACCCTACGATACACTTTGGTAGCACAAGCTTCAAAAGGGCAGCATCTGCAATTGAAAAATCTATCGGAATTTTAGGAAGTAGTTCAAATACAGCCCCAAGCCTATCTATTCAGAACACTCAGATTCCGGTTCAGAAATTTGCTGACAGCAGCAGTGCAGATGAGCTGGAACTGAAATGCTCTTGCAGGCTGAAAGCCATGATAGTGTGCAAAGGCTGTGGAGCCTTCTGCCATGATGACTGCATAGGTCCTTCAAAATTGTGTGTAGCCTGTTTAGTGGTTCGGTAGGATCCAAAGTAGAGATGCAGTATCCCTGGTTAGCAGGGGGGAAGGCAAAGGCAAGAAAAGGAGGAACTGGAATATTTTAGGCCATTTTGTATCTGGATACAAAATGTTTCTGGGTAAGCTTTGTTGAGAAATGAGTTGCATGGCTCATCCTAGTGAGAATGACCCCTTGGAGTAACGTGCACAAAAAAAGTTAAAACATACCACACTTTCGTTAAAGTACTTCGATAAAGTAAAGCAAAAAAAATTATGCATTTTCATTTCTATTTATGTGCACAAAGTGCTGAACATTATTTTTTCCCATGTATAAATGTAACATATTCTTCCAGTAAAAGAATTATGAGATCCATAATTCTCCAAATTTCTGTGCATGGAACAGTGCAAGAATACAGGAGAACACTAATCGACGAAGAAGAGACAACAAGCAGGAGGAATAATATTCTGCTATCACTAGCAGGCCATTATAGCTACTGCAACTTGGCAGTTTTTGTAACAATTACATTCCTGAAGCCACAGTTGCCAACCATGGTTGACTTAATACGCAGCAAAAGGGGGGGGGGAATGAGACACTTTGGTAATTTTGGTCCCTTTAGGCTGCTGTACTGAAGGAAATTTTAAATTAAGCCCGGTGTTGAGGGTTACCTGTAACAAATTGGAGTTTGCATGATTTTAGAAGTTTGGAAGTGGAGGGTGGGGTGGGATGGGCAGAGAGAGAATAACTACAATGATTATAATATATTAATCCATTTATCTTCCCCAAACCTCATCTATCAATTTATCCTGAAGGGAGATACTCAACTTATATGCATATATGGACCATATTATGTAAGCATCAAGCATGTTCTGAGCAATATCATTTCAATAGCCTAAAACTAAATCTTCTTTGATTCTCTGTGTAGATCCAAAAAAAAGCAAAAATAATAATGTGTGATTTACAGACCTTTTAAATATGTTTACATCTTGATATATTTTAAAATATTTTACTAAATTTACTTGTAATCACTTTTTTGTGTGTTAGAGAGTTCACACCACAAATATTTTGTGGGATGGCTAGAGGAATGAAGAGATTTTAAAGGGATACTGCATCTTTTAGCTCTCAGTATTGTATTTAGTAGTGGTTTATGTTGATAGTTATATTTGAGACATATTGGCCACCAAACTAGGGAAGAAGAGCTGAGGCAAATTGCTTACTTCTCTTTATGAATAAGGAAAATATTTTAAAGGGATACAAATGCGGAGTTTGGCAAGAGGAGATTACTGGTTATCTTGAAAATGGTTTTTCTTTCTTACCATGGAGAAATATGTCATTCGTACCCACACAGTATAAACTTACTGACCTAATGCCTGGCTGTCCATGCAAGAAAACTGACAATTCTTACTACTCCTCATGACAGATTTATAATGGCAAGGTGCTACACTAAATTCTGCCCAGAACAAATATTTTAAAATTTGAAATAAATTGTGCTACATTTATGTTTTATTCCAAAGTATTAACTTAGTAAGGGAAATAAAACTAATATAAAATTAAGACATACTTTTCTGTTTTGCATCAGTTAAACTTTTCAGGCATATCTGCATGTTAGTGAGGTTCAGCTGTTTAGAAATTGTATTTATTTTCTTATCGGACCACATTTAACATGAACATCTGCCATTCCCCTATTTTTATTTTTATTAAATAAACTGGAATAGGCAGGGCTTAACATTCCTTAAACCAGAGGTTATATGGTTTGAATAGATTTCTGTTTTGTTTTCCTAGCAAGGCCAACAGATTGTCTTGACACTCTTCAATATGAAAGGAATAGATAATCATAATTGCCTTACCGGAACTGGCAAAGTAACAGAATAGTGTAGATCAAAAGCACTCATTTGTAAGAGATAAATAATATGCAGATTTTCAGCACTTTCAGGTACCCTTGAAGAGATTTTGTCTCCAAAATGCCTATTTTAAAAGCATGTTTTTGTAATGTTCAAAATAGATGGCTAAATGGGGCCTTTGTTAAACATGCATGTGCTTGCATATTTAGTTAAAATTTAGAAGATTTTAACATTAGAATTGTGATATCCTAGTTAAATGCAGTGGATGAAATCCCAGTTCCAGTAAATTCCTAGGAGCAGTGGAGCAAAGGTTAAGTCTAGTTACTGTCTATCTTTTATCAAAATAACCATGGGCATCAGCTTTTAACTAGAATGTCTTCTACCTGTCCTAAGGATTGTCAACTCTAAAGAAAGAAAATTTACTGTGAAAATATACCACAGGAAATCTGGACACCATTCAGTGAAAGTTAAGCACTTAAAGCTACAATCCTATGCATTCTAACATGATAATAAACCCAACTTAATTTATTGAGGATTACATCCAAGTAAACCTACACAGGTCTCTTAGACTTACATGGAATTTTGACTACATCCTTGGTTGATCTATGCTGTGGCTAGCCTAATATTGAAAGGAGTTGTACGTTAATTATAATGTTGAAATAAGGACCAGGATGGACAAGACTCCAGCAGATGTCTTCATTTAAAACCTAGATGCTCCTCAATTATACAGAGGTCTGCTTTGGGGGCAGGAAAAGTGGCACATGTGTAAGGAGCTCTAAACCCTCCCCTGGTTCTGCTTCTTACCTTCCCATAGCCTCTGCTTCCAGGCTTACTTAACCAGAAATGCCTAGCTAGGAGAAAGGTGCTTCAGTGCATGTGTGCTTGGGAGACGAGCAGACAAAGGAAGTTTTAGCATTCCTCCCTACTGTGTCCCTTTGGCAGATAAAACACCTCTGCTTTCTGCACAACTGCAGTAAATCTGGCTCTATACACACAGATTTGCTACTGTTGAATCTAGTTTGGCACAAAAGATATGGCTAATGAGAGAAAATTTACTCCTCTCTTTGGGTCTGCATGGATGCATGTGTGAGGATAGGGTGGCTGTAGTTGGTTTACTTAGCATATGAGAAAGTGTTCTTTAAAAAAAAAAAAGGCATGAGACAAAATGGTGCTAGACATTATTACATGTTTTTCAAAACTTCTCCCTAGTGGAGATTAAGCCACTATTCCCTGATGATCCACCTAGAACTCATTTGGCTTACTATTTAGAAACACCTGATGGTGGCAGTAGTGGTTTATAATATATATTTTATCTAGAAGAAAACAAATATTCTGTTAACTTTTTGTTATTCTGGCCTTCCTTCTCATTTTTCCCAAAATTTCAATAGCACTGGACTCTCCCGCTATCAGGCTGTTTGTGACATGCCGTTTGAAAGGTTTATGCATTAGATCTGAGATGGCATGAGACCCTCAAAAACTCACAACTCTGTGCATAAAGGCTATGTTTGGGTATGCCTGCACGAGCACCTTTTGCCACATTTTATTTCAGATCGTCCCAGTATTAACCTTCGTTCATTTCTTTTATGTATATGGATCCTTCCCCTCAGAATTATGGGCTCTTAAAACAAAATTAAAAAAGAATACATGCAGCAATTCACACACCTCATTTTAAAACAATGAACAAAAACAAATGAAGTGGGGGTGGGAATGACAGGCTGTCCCTGAAATGTTAAGGTGGCATGAGACAAGGAATGGTATGTGAGAGTTGCCCAAGGTTAAGTAAATAAAAGAGTTCAGCTCATTTAATTAGATACTTAGAGCTGAACAAGATGTTGATGCAGCTACCTAGCTCCCCTCAAGTAACTGGCAGTGCTCACACTAGCCTCCTTGAGTATGCAATGTAACATCAGATAAGAGACTCCTGGAAGACTGAACCTCCATCTTCATAATTAGAAGAGGGCGGAAATCAAGATAGGTTTTCTCTCATTTAGAGGAGGACTAGAGATCTTCCTTGAGTCCTCTCCCCAGATGTAACACTGCTCAGCTGAGTAGATTGTTTGCATGAGGTTAGTCGGCTTCATTAACATCCCCATCAACTCTACAAGTCATCTAGCAATTCATACCAGTGCTGCACTGAATGTTAAGTTTGTTGTTTTTATGAAAAAGTTGCTGTTTTGAGGTGAGGGGAGAAAATATGTGGGAAAACCCTTATTGTCCAGTCTTCTGCATATATTTTAATTCCTGTTCAAAGCTATTGTTTCCCCATCTGCTGCTGCTGCTTTCATCCTTTTTTTTTTGTACTTGAAAGGACTTGGGTGATGCCAGCTAGTCAGAAATGTTACAGTGAATACTAGAATATCATGGTGCCATGTAGGCAATCAGATTTGGCTACTGGGTGATGCCACTGGGGGCAAAGACATTGTCCTCACATATCCAGGCCTCTAATCATTGCAGTTGAAAGAATCATAGAATTATAGAGTTGGAATGAACCACACAAGTCATCTAGTCCAACCCCCTGAAATGCAGGATTTTTTTGCCTAAGGTGGGGCTCAAGTCCATGAGCCTGAGATTAAGAGTCTCATGCTCTACCGACTGAGCTATCCAATACTTTTATTCCTATCTAGCTCAAGTTATGGAAAGGGTGCATTTTGTGGAAGGAAATGATCACAAAATTTCCCATTCCATTCCAGTGTGGCACTAGTTTACAGGACAACACATATGAGCAACATGTTCACATCTTTAAATATCTGTGTTAGTGCACCTGCATACCCAATCCAGTTTGTCTATGGCCATTCAGGCACACATTTCTGTCACTCGTACTTTACAGTGGGTGAAAAGGCACTTGCCACATAAAATGTTGAGCTTTCACTTGAAGAACCCAGGAAGAGGAGCCCTAACCAAGAATAAGCTGAGATTGCTGTTTTCCATGACTGCAAAAATATCATGTACTAACCATTATGGGGAATGAAAGTTTTTTCACCTTCATTTCAGCACATTTTGAAGGAGAGAATCTTCCTCCTTGTGTTCCTCTATGTACTCTCATATATTTTACACATATCCCAGAAATCTGTACGTAATGGTGGAGCATTTGCTGTGTGCATTTTGTGTTCCTACAAAGAGTTTTCTAAACCGAAATACCCTTGTCCTGTTATGGACATAATGTAAAGATTTGGTGAAGTAGGCAATCCCCAATTTTGCATTCCATTACCTGCTATGGTGTAGTGCATGAAATTAATCTGGGGGGAAGGTTGAGCCATAAAGCAATGATGTATTTCCTCTGTATTATAAATCTCCCCCTAAAAGTGGTATGTGTTGTCAGGGTGAGTTACTGAATTCTATTTCAGGACCATGGAATTTCTTGCTCAGTTTCTTCTAAACTGGTGCATATGGTGCTTTATAATGCAGTTTCTAAAGTGAAATTACCTTATGCTGCAGCCCTTATAAACACGCGCACAATTTCAGAGAAGTTGTTATAGTCTCTGGTTTTGCATAGTATGATGAAGGCCCAGGATCAACACTCAAGACAGCTAAAAAAAATGGCACCTAATGGGATCATCTTAGCTCACGTATGTCAGGCCATGTTAGACACTGAATGACTCTGTGCGGCAGCTTCAGTTCTCTACAACACTGGGGGAAAGGCCAGCAACACTTTTTCCAGTGGATTATCATGGACCTGTGTAGCTAAATGTTTCTGAATCTAAGGGGGAAATCCTGTTGTCTTCAGTCATCATGCTTTGTCATTGTAAAACCAACAAAATAGTATTTTTTGTCTAATTTAAAGGAGCTGCTTCTTTTATAGCACATATTTCGCTTTGTACTATATTTGATAGTTAAAAGATAACTTAGCCTGTAGAATACTTTGTTGTATTTGTACTGTTCATGAATGTTACAAGAAAAGTGCTTTACTTTGTTGCCATAATTCTCTTGTACTGCTGTAAAATTTATTCTTTCCTGCTTTACAAAAACCTAAATCAATTGCCATTTTTGGTACCGGGTTTTGTATATGTTATTATTATTTTTTTAATTTTGTCAGTATTTGGAATGTTTACATCTCTTTGACACTAGCCATTCAATGCCTTTTTTAGGGTAGTATTTCTCCTGCCCATGATAACAGCAATGTGAAATCAACCCATATCTGTCTTGCATGAAGAACATACATTGTGTGTGTGTGATAGGAAATCCCTACCATGCATAGATATTTTTCATCTGCATAAAGAAAAATAAAACCTCCTTTCAGTCCTCTACCAAAGAAAAAGAAAACTATTCCTATAGGACAAGTTCTTCAAATTCTCAGAAGGGGGAGCAGTTGATTTCAATGGCATTGCTATAGTTTACTTGTTATGCTTGCTTTATTACCTGACTAAATGTGACTGAGTGGGGGGAAAGTTTTAACTTTTTCTTTTTGTTTTTAAGAGGCAGTGTTTGGTTTAGAATTCAGGGATCATGCTCTCTCATCAATGGTGCTGTTTGTCTTTCTTTTTTAAAAAGAAAACCATTTGTTGCATACAAAAGTAAGCAAATGAAAATATTTGTTTTGTCTACATGATTGCTCTTTACCCTCCCAGTCCCCTGAATTTGGGCTTCAATATTGAAATATTCTAAAGAAAATAAAAACAAAAATAAACATGGTTTGTTTGTTTGTTTCCCTTGCCTTTATATAGTGTGCCATATGAAAACAAGCTATTCATTGTATATGAGGAAGATAGAAACCATAAAAGGGGGGAAGTATGCACATTTTCGAACTGGTAATCATCTGCATCTATGTTGTACAAACTGTTTTTCTCCTGTTCTCAAAAATAGCCCCAAATTAACTTGTGCTGTAAAATGACGGCACATGAAATGGATCTACGTACCTATAATAAACTACAAAAATATACAAATGAATTGAAATGTGAAGTCGTCACATCCACACAGATTTAAGGTCACTTAGATATATGCTGAGGAATATATTGGAGAACATCCAGTGAAATAACACACACACACACACACACACACACACACAGAGAGAGAGAGAGCTCTTGAATGTGTGACTTTGGCTGAACTGTCATTCAGTTAATGAAAGCTGGACAAGTTCAGCCAGTCATGCTGTGTGCCAGCAGAAATTCCATTCAAAATATCACTAGGGAGATCACCACACAATTGTGATGGAGATTGCAACTGTGGCCCCAGCCTGGTCTCAATGCATACCTTTACCTTTACCTTTATGCTGTGCAACACTAGGCAACATCTCTACTGTACTTCAAAATCTAGTGGTGGTGGCGGAAACTCACCAGCCAGCACAGTAGTTCCTTTAATATTACCTATTAAATCAGAACTGGGGAACAGAGGACGTTTTTGAGGAAGACATTGAAGCCTGAAGGTTTCGCCCCAGAATTAATTCACATACCTTCACATATGTGCTATAAACAATCTTTAAAACAAATGGTTTGCAGAAAGTGTCAAGCAACACTAAAACCAACTCCTAAAAGTTATTAATAAGACACAGACAGTGTCAATTAAAGCATTGATTTAATTTCCAGAGGCCTATAGAAACAAGACAATGAAGAACTTCTGAAAAGGCATTTCTAAGCCTTGGGGCTATCTCGGAAAAGGCTCTTCTCTTGCTCTCTTTTAATTCTTCTAAACAAGCACATCTTAATATGCAGGGAAGCTCATAAAAGAGGAGGAGTTGGAATTACTTACATGTCCCAGGCTACAAGGAATATTCTAGCCAGCACACTGAATTGTGCTTAGAAACTATAGTAGTACCTCTGGTTACAAACTTAATTCGTTCCAGAGGTCCGTTCTTACATCTGAAACTGTACTTAACCTGAGGTACCACTTTAGCTAATGGGGCCTCCCGCTGCCGCTGCGCAATTTCTGTTCTCATCCTGAGGTAAAGTTCTTAACCCGAGGTACTACTTCCGGGTTAGCGGAGTCTGTAACCTGAAGTGTTTGTAACCCAAGGTACCACTGTATTTGGCAGCCAGTGCAGATGTCACAATATAGGTTGGACATGCGGTCACCTTCCCCTCATGGCATCAGGAGAATTGCATTCACTGAAGTATTCCAATTGTTTTGAAGATATTGGAAATACTTGATCCTGTTAGTTACAAATTTATAGATAATATCCTCCTCTCTCAGAATGGAACACATATTGCTTCTTTAGTGTCCAGGTAGGATTGCCAAGGATTACCAGGCCCAAACCCTGAGAGGCTAATTTAAAAACTACATAGAAGTCAGGTGCCATTTTCCTCAGCTTTCCAATGTGATGATGGGAAAAGCCACACGTGAAATTCTCCCTTCTGTGCAATTATTAGATGAACGGAAGCTTTCAGAGGAATCCTAGAAAGCAACAATCCCTCAGTGACAAGGGGAAGGGCCCACGTTTATTTGAATTGACCAACCAGCGGAGATCATAGGAGGAAGAGGAGCAAATTGTGGGCTACTCTGCTTAAGGCAGCCTCACTCAAATGAAGGAAACAAACTTGGATTGGTGGACTGCAGCAGTGGCCTTGAGATCTACTTTAGTAGGAACTGGCTACTCCATAGGCAAAACCCACTGCTACATGGGATAGGGCAACACTGACCTCTCAAATAGCAGCCTTTTTATTGTTTTGCATATTTTTAGATAATAGAAAAGCAAGCACATAAATTCGGGAGTGAGGAACTTATGGTCCTCCAGTTGTTGTTGGACACCCAAATTCTGTAGTCCAATAACATCTGGCACAGATGAACACATAAAAACCAAGGTATCCAGAAAATCAGGGTAGAATCATATTCTCCTAAAATATCAACAAGCTCACAAAGCTGATAGGTCACATCACTAGAAATGATAAAGTTCCATTATTTCCCAGGACTTTCCATTTCTGCTCCAATAGCAAAATAACCTAAATACAATGAGAGGTTGAAAATCTTATCACTTCGGTCCTACTAAAAACACTGGGAGGGTTTAAGCATATGTTCAAGCAGCAATCATATGTAAGCCTCATTGAACATAATGGGACTCAGTTCTGAGTAAACAAACATGGGGTTGAATAACTCTCCCATTTTAAAATCAATTCAACTTAAAAGTGCTTAACTGCTTGGACTGTGTACATTGTTATCCATTGCTATAGCATGGTGGTCTCTGCTCCACTAACAAAAATGGATCAGCTTGTAAGAAAATAATTTTGTTTGCCTACATGAAAGTTAATTAAAATTTGTCCATTTTATTATTATACTAACATTATTATTCAGCCAGTGTTCGTTTGTTTAAGACATTTATATACTGCTTAATCATTCACATTTCTAAGCATTGTACATCAAAACAGCAACAAAAATGACAGAATAAAAACTATTATAAAATGTAGCACTGCCTTAAAATGTCTGCTGGAACGAGTCTTAGGGCTTATCCATACACTTCCATGCATTCCAGGCATGATCTGTGCTTTAAAGCTCTATATTTCCAAGTGCCTCCCCCTCTTTTCTCTCTCTCCAGAGCTTTCCCTGTGAAAATCTGCTCTTTAAAGCTGAATCTGAGCAAACAGTAATCCACAGAAAACCTGAATTGATGTTTGTGCACTTGAGTGCTAAAGAGCAGGTTTTCTTAGGGAGAACTCCAGAGCAAAAGAAAGAAGAAAAA